CTGAAGATAAAAAACCGAAGTTACCGGGTGGGGGGGGGGGGGGGGGGATCAGGAATGTTTTGTGAAAGTGCCCAACTAGTCAGGTTACTCACCGTATTTAATATTATTTAATGGAAAAACACTGTCAAAATTTAGCTGAAGAACCATGGAAAATACACTTTTAAAACAATATTTACGGTAGACAAAAAAAACTCAATTGTGAAAATTAGATGTGAAGTAAAACCATATTTAACCAAGCAAATTAAAAATAAATAAGTACTTGTAAGTAAACATGCATAATATTTGGGTACCTTAAATTTTAGCAATAACCATGTTCCATCTAAATAATAAATGTTTAAAAAAAAAATTATAATAATAAATCGAAAAAACATATTGGTCTCATTTACACACAACCTGCATTTCATTCCCCACCTCCCCCAATCAAGTCTACTTACAAAATTCACATGCAGGTTTGAATTTTTGTCTTTCAGGATTTTCATTTTTAATAAAACCCTTGTATTTATTAATACAATGGTTATTATTGTATTTACCCTTGTATAAATCTTTGTTCCTCTCCTGTCTCTTTGATTATAATTTGTTGTGGACTTAAGGATATATGATTATAATGTAGGCTGGCCTTGTTCCCATTTCTGTCCAAAGGGGAACCCGCATTTGTGATTTCATACCTTTCCTTACCCTCACATTTACATCGACGCAGCTACTTAATGTCATCAAAAATTGAAGACGTCTTGACCTAAATGTTGCCAACATGCAGGGCAGTTGAAAGCCCAGTGGAGCCAGCGATGACGCTGTCTAGCTGCTCATGTAACCGCTCTGATTATTGCCTTTTCTTAACTCTTCCAAGTATGCATTCACTCCATCTCTTCTTCCTTTTCCCCTCCCTCCACATGTACATCTCTGCCCCTCTCGGTCTGTCCATCACGCTGCTCAGTGCAGGTTCTCATAGGCTGTAGTAATTAGTGTAGACACCCGCTGCCCTCCTCGAGACCTGCAGTCATCCCGGATCAGCATCAGCGGCTGTGTGCAATAGATCCAGCCATGATGGAAACAACAGCAGGAGGTGCTCAATTCCCCAGCAGGAACTTACAAGGGCCACTGCTTATTTCCATGGTAACATTAGGAGCGAGTGTGAGTGCTCCAGGCTCACCACAAGGCCTGTTTCACACACACACACACGTAAGCAGCAGCATGCTTTCACAGTATATAGATATATATAGAATAAAGTGATTTCTGCGATTACTGCTTTGAGTGTTCCTTTTAATAAGTTAAATAAAATGTTATCAGGAGTGGTCCATTGAGAATTACAAATTTGATCATCTTGAAATCTACATTACAAACCTATAGTAAAAAAGTTATACATTTAAAATACATTTCATACTACGTAGTATAGTAGTCTATTAATATATTTAGTGAAATATCACTCGAGACTTATAAAAATTATAATTAAAGTTTATTTGGAGTTCTACTTGTGCACAGTACACATTTTGCATTATTAAGCCTAAAATGTGTTTTAATCTCACTAATGATGAGGATTGTATGATCTTTGAATAATATCTGTCTTTGTCTTTATACTTTAGGTATAAGCCTACTTAACTTACTTGCAATAGCTCCACTTTAGCACAATCAAATATACTTCAGTATATCTTTAATTGGACTTCAGCACTACTTCCACACAATTAAAATGCAAAATTAGATGTTCACATTTAGCAGACTTTAAGTATACAGTTTAGTATATCAAAAATACAATTGCAGGGTATTTTTATTAAGCACAAAAATATGTAAATATTTTTGTAGTATACTTGGCATGAAATAAATATATTTCAAATACATTTTGGTATATTTATCTTTCACTAGGGGAGGAGTCACATTTGCATCTAAATGGTAATTAATCTACACTGAATTCAATCCAAAAACGGTACTGCCTAGACCATGTGTATCAGTCGTGCATACACTTGCAGGTGGGCAACAAGATGGTTTTAATTATTTAAAATAAAAAAATTTTTTAAAGTTTGAAATAAAACTGCTCATATTCAAGACTTATTTCTTATTTTATTTTTTTCCCTCAATGACTGACATTTTTAAGAACCAGGGTTCCCACAGTCTTGGAAAACATGCATGTATGTGGAAATTTTAAAAGTGTGATTTCTAGACCGGAGAAGTCATAGAAACTAATAAAATCCCAAGAAGCCATGGAAACTTCTATAATGACTACATTTTTCTTAGATATATCAAGTTATGTTAAAATATTTTATCAGGTAGACATTACTGAGAATCTGAGAGTAAAAAGTTTATATTTTAAAAAAAGCAATATATATTCATTGGAAATAAAGAATATAAATGCTGAACTTCTGTAATTTTATTATATTAACTTCAAATTATTTCAATGTAATTATTTTAACATTGTCACTCCCAATTTCTGTAAATAAAGGTTAAAAGCAATTATCATTACAACAAAGGTTTTAAAAATATATTATATATCTTTGAAATATTGTTTTGGACAACTACTGGTCTAGA